CAGCTGCTGTACACTCTTTGCTACCTTAATATTGTTGTCCCAAATCTCTATACTTTACTGAGTTCCCTTCCCTTGTAGAGTTCCAGTGTTCTCTTTCAGTCATTCATTTCTAAAGGCAGTCAGTTAGTTATTCATTATTTTTTCTTTGTGGAAGAGGCAAATGTTGGGCACCTCAATTCTATCACCTTAAATCTTCAAAGCCTTTATATTAATGTAGTTTTTTATATGGTTAGGCTTAAGGAAATTTTCCTATTTGTTTTCTGTTTATCCCATTTGGCTTTTTTTCTTTTTTTTTTAACTTATTATTGAATTAATTGAGTATTTTTATGATTCTATTTGTTCTCCTTTGTTTATTTGCCAGTTGTAACAAATCTGTTATTTTAGTTTTTGCTTTAGGAATTATGCATCTTTAATTTGTCACTATCTCCAAGTGATGTTATATCACTTCACACATAGTATATGAATATTACCGTAGTGTACTTCTACTCTCTCGCCTAACTTCATCATTATTTTATAAACAATCAATCATCTTTCTAAAATATTTTATGGCACTGGAGTGTAGACCAGTGCTACAACATTTGCCTCGTATACCTAAGGCTCTGGGTTCAGTCCCCAGCCCTGTAAATGACTTACACATTTTCTTACATAGTTACTTCTTCTAATAGCCTTTATCCTTATTGTGTACTCTCATATGCATCTGGTATTACTTTCTCTCTATTTAAAGTATTCTTTTTCAACATTTCTTATAATACTGGTCTGCTGGTGATGAATTCTTTCAGCTTTTGTGTGCCTTTAAATATCCTTATTTTGCATTTATTTTTAAAACATATCTATAAATTCTAGGTAAATAGAATTCTAGGTCAATTTTTTTAAGGCTTTTTGTCTTGATTACTGTTCTCATTGCTGAGACAAAATAGCTGGCACCCCAAGTTAAAGGGAGAAAGGTTTATTTAGCTCATGATTTATAGTAGTTTCAGATCATAGTTGGTTGGATCCAAGGCAGGGTGACATGACAGAGAGGCATCACAGAGGTGAAACAGTTCATAGCAGGCATAAGGCAGAAGACAGCAAGCTACAAGTGATGTCCTTCTTTCTGTCCCTCAGGTTACCCACCTATATGGCAGGTAGCACTCACACCCTAATCCTAGCATTGCCCCATGCATGAATCAATCCCAGCATCACACACCCTAGATCCAGCCACCTCTAAAAAGCTCCACTTAAGACCACATAAGGCTTTGGGGGGACATATGGACACAAGCCTAATTTTATCAAGTAGCTTATTTCTAAAAAGTGGCTTGCCAACTAAACATTAGCAAATTCTGGATAGTTCACCTCCCCTGGAGTTGGATTCCAGTTTCTTCTTGTCTCAAACAAAGAATTTAATAAAACAAGAAAAAAGCATGGTAAAGTTTATCCAAGAAAGCAAAAAGGAAGAGTACAAGAGAAACAGACTCTGCAGATTGAACCTGGCCTGAGTAAGTAGAAAAGAGAACAGCAAAGAAAAAAGTACATACTGTGTTTGGGAAACAGCATGAGCTATCAGAGAAAGGCATGATAGTACCACCTCCTCGTGCCTGCCTATATTTCATGTTGTACAGCTCTTGAAGAAACCCATAAGAACTTCTGCATCTGGGTCCTGAGAGGCGGTGCTGAGATCCCATGCTGCAGGCAGATGTCAGGTCTAGACCATCCCATTGAAAATCTGCTTGAGTTATCCTGAGAAGTCCGCAGGCAGGGCTATGGGAACTGTTCTATGTATGTGTACAGGACCCTGTAGTTAACAAGTCAATCACCTTTTCCACACCCTAATTTCTTATGTCATTAACATTGTGCCCCTAGAACCCCAATACTCATATACATCCCTTTACGCAAAAGGCATTTAGTCCATCTCTAAAAGTTGCCAGAGTCTTAACAGTTTCAACATTGCTGAAAAGTTCAAGTTCAAAGTCTTTTCTGAGATTTAAGGCAAACTGTTTGTTGCAAGCCCTTGTACAAATGAAAAGAAAGTTAAATACATCACACATTTACACAACATACAGTGGCACAACCTACAGTTTCCATTCCACAAGTAACAAAGAGGTGGATAGAAAGGATTAGGGACAAACCAAGATAAAACTCCAACAGGGCATTCATTAAGTCCTGTAATTCTATGTCCAGCATCTGAGGCAGACTTTTGCAAGATGTGAACTCCAAAGGGCTTGGGTGGCTATGCCTCTATGGCACTGCATGTGGTTGCAGTTCTCGTGGCTTCTTTCTTGGGTTTGCTTTGGTCACTCTTTGCATCTTTTCTCAGATGATCCATGTTCCTGGCTCCTCCAACATTCTAAGGTCTCTACAGCACCTTCATCTTCACATTCACAGCTTCATAAACTCCTCTCTTAGAAGCACACTGCTTGACTATCCAGGCCTTAGTCTGAAATCTGGGTGGAAGCCTTCTTGATCCCACAACTCTTGCATTCTGCGTGTGCCTAACACCAGCACCACATGCGAAGGTTTGCTACTAGCTGGAGCCATAGCCTTTTCTCTTGGCTGTAGGGGTCAAATACCTATGAACCAAATCCTGAGGAACAACTTCCCTAGGACACTATCATTCTGGAACATGGTGCTCTGAGGCTCTCTTCTCAAAGCAAAGCCTATCACTTTTGAACTCTGAGGCTGCAAAGGCTGGAGTTCTGCTGGTTCTTATGATATCCTCAGCCCATCTTTTCTATTTTCCTGTTCCTTCTCAGCAATCAACATATCCTCTCCTCTATTTTTGTATTCCACAGCTGTACTTATGCTTCCTTTCTGGCCAAACTCACCGTGTTTTAAATCCTTTTGCTGGGCTCTTTGCTTATGGTTCCCAACATAGATCTGGCTAAAAGCACCCAACAGTAGCCATGCTACCACCTCAATATTAGGACTGCCTTGAAATTTCTTCAGCAAGATTAAATAGTTCAATACCTTTAATCTCAGTCTCAGGCAAAGCCTTTGAACCTGGAAAAAATGTAGACAAACTTTCGGCTAAGGCATAGCATGTGTTCTGGAGACAAACCTTAAAGGCAGTCCTTCTTACCATGAGAAAACTCTTGAGCCTGGTCTTTGTTGGCAGAATCTCTACCAGCATTATGGTCTTCTGAGCTCTGAGAAGACTCTTCCATCAAGTACAGTTTAAGGCGTTCCTGGATGGCTTTTTGTCAGGAAGAACTTCAGATATTTCTGGTTTTTCTAAAAGTAATGACCTCTTCCGACCTGAGTGAATACTAACTAACAATTACCAGAAAGAGTGAAAATATGATTCTATAGTCAATCTGCTTGTGTTGAGATTCCAGTAATGTAACTTGCCAACTTCTTGACATGTAGTGATTCAGTTAAACTCTCTACGCCCAATTTCTTCACCCATATGGCAGTCATAATACTATCTACATTTTGGATGCTAGAAAATAGGTCAACTGCTTATCATAATGCTGGGCCCATATGCCATCAAGGAAAAGTGGCTTGCATCATAAGTAGCTCCTGCTCTAGATTTCATTTTGCTCTCACAAAAGAAGAGATAGATTAAATCCCAGATGCATCCTTAGACTGTGATAACCTATCCCCAAGGAAGATATTAGTTGTTGATTGATGTGCATTGATATGCATTGTTCTAAGGAGAGTCATGGAAGCCCAAATCATTACCTTATTCTTCCAACTTAACACAGGAATTTATTTCTGGAGGACAGGGTCTACAGGTATCAATTCTTTTTTCATAGAAAGTAAGTATGGTATATTTACTATGAGTATTGATTTGTGTTCTCTAAGCCCAGTGAAGTAAAAGTGTTTCTTTCTGCTGAAAAATGCATTTTTAAAAAGGAACTGCAAAATCCTTTTTTGGCTCTCAGAAGTGAGCTGTATGAGAAGGCATGACCATATCATAACATGTTGCTATGATAAAATTCAATATATTTTTTACAAAATTCCAACAAAAACAAAATTCCAACAAAAACAATAAAAATCAATATATTTTTTACAAAATTCCAACAAAAACAAAATTCCAACAAAAGCAAAATAAAACAAAACAAAAAAGACAAAGGTAGGGATACAAAACTGGAAGCAAGTTCATGGGCCAGTACAGAAAGATTTCAGGATTTCTGTGATGATGGAAAACTGCTGATAGAGGCTGATAGCATATACTTCAAGGTTAGATTTATACTATAAAATTGTCTACTTGTCATTTTTTCTCACCTCAAAGTATATGCTGCACTTTATTCTTTTTTCAGTGAACAAATTTTCATTGAATATTTTCAACTGATAGGCATAGCATTGGGAAGACAAAAAACTTAGAATGAGATTTGCAACCTCAAGTAGCACACCCTTTTATGAAAGAGACAATTTGGACAAGCAGAAATAGATCATTACAATGTGTTGATTTTAATATCTCATGGCTCTGTGTGATGGAGGAGGTCACTTAATGAGCATCAGAGAAAGTATCAGAGGAGGAAAGATAAGTTCAAATTAGGTGAATGAAAAGAAAAGAAGAGGTATGGAAAAACCAGCATGCCGTGCAGTTCAGTGTTGTTGGAATGGATTTGCAGGGGTCATAATTAGAGAAAAAAGATTGAACTTAGAGTGGTGGCTCCACTGAATCATTTAGAATGCTGTGTGAATTTTAAGGCTGTCAAGCTATGTCTCTGTTCCTTACAGGGCTGCAGTCAAAGTAAAGGAGTGGGCTTGGAAGGAGCCCTAGGGCCCAAGTTAAATACTATTTTGTTTCACTACTTATAATTACTTCTAGTGACTTTTCACATTGCTGTTACTAACTTTTAAATGGTTCAGAATAGGCACAATTTTGGACAAATATCTTTCAAAACCCCCGCTTCCTAACCTATAACCTTGCATGCAAGCTGGAGATGGCTATTCCCCAACGTTTGCTATATCTGAGATCTTAGAATGAATGTACTTTCTAGGAGAGAATATTCTAAAATTGAGCCCTTTATCCACACAAATCACTCACCAATAGTGTTCCTTTGTTCATTTTACAGGAGGAACTTTTGCCATGGCGACACCTAGGTGAGGTCTCTGCTTCCTGTGCTGCCAAAATTTTATGATCTGTTTATCTCCACAATATAGGACCATGGAATGACATACATTTTAAAATATTTTAACTGACTTTCTACCAATATTTTAACATTCTTATAAAGTCCAAAAATATGATTAGGCAACCACTTTCATTCATACTTTTGCACAGAGTGTGTGTTATTCACATTCATTTACCTATTTCCTTTTGTGCTGAGGCACAGAACTGACCACGAAGGTCTTCATGGCACTGTTTTTTATAGGCTACCGTACACTCATTCTGTTGCTTGTTCCTTTACTCCTATAACACATACTTACTTAGGAAGTGATTATCAATTGTCAGCATTGTCAAATTCACAATATTAACTGCACAAGTAAATGTAACTAGAAAAATGCTGAGGACCCCTTATGGTGTTTTACAGTAAGGGTAAAGTATTGAAATATGAGGTAGAAAATTGAAAGATACTTAAAAAAACAAAGAAGTTCTGTGGGAATGCAGAAGTCATTGTATGTCAATGTCCAAGCATTTACATGTTTAAAAGTAATTATTATTATATTTTTATTTTAAAGGTAAAAGAATGAAAACATATTAACAAACACACATATGTTTAAAAAATAATACAAAAACAATACAATCTTACATGCCTCTATTTATCTGAGTAACCAATTTGAAGATATAAATATGTAATACAATAGCCATTGTTAATTTTCTATCACCTTGTCTTAAAAGTAATTATAAAAATTAGCCAAATCTGAATTTCTACCTTATCAAAGGGATCTGATGCTGTGGGCTTTGGCCCTTTGATATTGCCCCCTCTGGCCTACCCCATGATGTGGCCTGGCCTTAATCTTGTGCCACATTCCTTCTGATATTTTCACCAAAAAAAGTCATGGAGAAGTGGCCATGGTATTTTTACATGAATCATGCTGAGCTCTGTGCCTTTCTGGATACTGATTTCCCTGAGACTCTGTGTAACCCATGAATACTTTTTTTTTTTTTGGTAGTGGGAATCGAACTCAGCCTCACACTTGCCAGGCAGGCACTGTGCCGCTGAGCTGTATCCCCTGGCCTCCATGAATACTTTTTAACCATTGTTTCTTCTCCTTCTGTCACAGTTATAGTCCCAATGAGCTGTCCTCAACCAGACCCTCCACAATCAACCCTGAGGTGCCCATCCGTTGTGAGCCACAGGCCCCAGTGGACCTGCAGCCAGTGTACAGCAATGGTGAGACCTCTCTTAGGGCCAGGGAAATCCAGGGGTGAGCCGGGAGGAAGAAGGGATTGAACAATAGCTCAGGAGCCTTTCATTTCAATTTTAAAAAGAAATTCAGCCATAAAGAAAGATAAAATGGAGTCTTTTATAGGTAAATGAATGCAACTCAAGACCATATTCATAAGTGAAGTAAATCAGACACATATGTGTAAACATCATATTGTCTCACTAGTGTGAGAAAATGAACAAGAAAATAAGATCCTAAATTTACAATAGATATTGTGGATTGGGAAGAAACTGTTCAAAAGAAAAAAACTGTGATGGGAGAAAGGGGAAATGAAGAAAGAGGAAAAGGAAAAAATATATGTATACACAAGGTAGTGAAGATAGTTATACAGCTAGTTTTTCTTAGTTCATTAAAAAGAAAGTTTTGTGCTAATGTTGTATAGACAAGATATCATGCCTATATCTTCTACTCTGAATAACTACTGCAACAGTATGTGATGCATCAACTATTGTAACTGTCCTAATAACCTGTTTTGAAACTTGGTTTCATGCTGTGTTTATCTTTTTCTCTCTTTAAAATAAAAAAAGTAATTCCTAGCATTGTATTTGGGATAAAAGTGGTTATGAACTTGGCATCTGGGAAGGTGAATTAGTCTACTTTTCATTGTTATAATAAAATACTTGAAGCTAGATATTAAATAAACAGTTTTATTTAGTTCATAGTTCTGGAGGTTCAGGACACGGCACTGGCATCAGCTATGCTGAAGAACTCATGGAAGATGGCTTCACAAAGGGGGGAACATAGGTAGGAGGAAGAGATCATGTGGTCAGGCAGGGAGCTGGTAATGACCTCCTACTAAGCTCTGCCTTGTAAAGGTCCTGTCATCTCAACATCACCACATTATCATCACATCACCACACACTAAGGAACAAACCAAGCCCAAAACCTTTGCAGAAGGAGAGGTCAGGATATGGGCTCTTAATTAGAGCCAACCATAATATCTTCTGTTTTCTTACAGTAAATCCTGGAAATGGCAACTTGATTTATTCCCAGATCCAGAGCGTACAGCATACAAATGGAAACATAGGTGAGATAAGTTTCAGACAAGTAGAGATGAAGTGGCCATTGTAATCAAATGCACTAAGGGGTCTTTGATCAAAGAGTTGTCTCAAAATAAGCCCAAAATAGAAGGTATTTCCTGCTCCTCCTGTAATGGTAATCATTTAATTCCCTTTTAACTATCCATACTGCCACCACTGCAGAGGCAGACAGAACTGACACCATGAATTTTTCATGCATGTATTCATAGCTTCTAGCTCAGTGCTAGGCAAGTTTAATATTTTGCTATTCCCATCCAACAGCGAATTCACCAAGGACGCATCAGCAAGATAAGGTGAGTCACATATCCTAGTTTTCTGTTCTCTGTGCTCTTCTTCATCTATATTTAGGTGCTGACTATTTGCGAATTTCTCACTAGGGAGTGGTAGTCATTTATTCGGAGCTGAAGAAGGCACACCCAGATAATTCTGCAAAGCAGACCAGCAGGAGAGAGAGTGTCCAGGAAGATGATACAGGAAACTATGAGAATGTCTTTTGTGCTTCTGCAGCCTCAGACTACTCATTCCTTGTCCAGAGTGGCCCATAGACTGTGGGAGCAGCACTGTTCTTCCCTGCTTCTCTTGACCACATACCAGACTTCTCCCTCAGACTCTACCTCCACGAACACTGGAATACCATGGATGTAAGGCTGAGCCGAAGATTTGCCACCTCTTCTGTGTCTGGGGCTGTATGTTCTGTAAACACAGAATGTGCAGCTTCTGAAAAAGTGCTGCATTCTTGCTAAAAGAATGGGCTGTATGCCAAGGCAGTGAAATAGAGGAGCTTGTCTAGCCCTGGTCACAAGGGCTTTACCTATAGAATTACAGCAAATACACAAATAATTCTAGGTATCATCTTCTCATTTTACGGCTGAGACAGAGGCCTATAGAGGGGCTTATCCAAGGTCATATGCAAATAAAAGGAGGGTCCGAACCTAGATCTGACCAGCTCCGAAGTCTGCGATCTCAACAGTCACACTACTTTGCTTTTTCTCTACAAAGATACTAGAATTCAAATGAACTAAACAATGCTATGAAAAGGAAATTATGTGCAGTTTACTGAACAGCTGACTTAAGCATGTATAAATGATATTTAGGATTGGTCTATTATGAGCTTCTAATCCATCCCACTAAACAGGTTAAGGTTCTCTTCTTTCATTAACTTGGCTTTGCTTCATTGATCCTGTAGTTTTTCCCTCAATGATCACTCTGTATACAATTTGCATCAAAATGGATCTTCTTGTCTGTGAGGATTTTAATGTTATTTGCATAAGTTTTTCAGGCACTGTTGAAATTGCTCAAAATGTGGAATCTTCATCAAATCTGTTTCTAAGGAGGTTTGCTTCCCAGCAATGCCAAATGTTACATGAAGTAATATGTGTCTCCATCTGTCGTAGTTTCTTTCCTCGTTGCTGAGAAAAAATAACCAAGACCAAGGTTAAAGGAGGAAAGGCTTATTTGGCTCACAGTGTGTAGAAGTTTCAGTCTATAGCTGACTGGCTCCAAGGCAGGGTGCTATGGGAGAAGAGAAGAAACAGTCCATGGTAAGCAGGCAGGCAACAAGAACACATTAGTCCTCTTTCTGTCCCTCATATTTTCTGCAGGCTACCTCCCTTACAGCAGATGTAGCACTCACACTCTTCATTCTAGCCAGAACTGTGCCAAACCAATCAGTAATCACACACCTTTGATCCCAGTACCACACACTTCAGATCCAGCCAGCTCTGAACCAACACTCCCATGACTGTATGTAGCTTTGAGGGAGACATCTAAACACCAGCCATAACACTGCTTATCTACATATGTGCTATTTCTTCATGAGATATATATCATTACTTTTAAAATAATTCATTCTATTTAATGAATAGTGAGCTTCTAAATAGTCTTATTAAATAGATACATGATAGATAGATAGATAGATAGATAGATAGATAGATAGATAGAGATGTAAACAGATGACATCTACAATCAAACAGAAGCTGTGGTCTTCAAGATACCTCCTTTGTCACCGGATTAAAATATTCCACCTGTCTGTAGTAGCTCAGTTTTACTGCTTAAATTGAACACTGATTATTTGGATCCATTGAAGCATCAGCACAAAACCAGTAAATTGGATGATTCATACGACTAGAGTTGCAAAGCTCGTATGCACTCAGGAGCCCTTGTTACCTGAGCTGGCAGTGGATGTAGAAGCACAAAGCACCAACGAATAAGCCCACAGGAGGATATTAGCCCCACTGCTCAAATACTTCTCATCCACCCCCCCCAATTAACTGACAAACATTGAGTGTCTATCCTGAAAAAAAAAAAAAAAAGAAAACAGAAGTATGTCATTGTGCTTAAATTTTAGGAAAATCGGCAGGATTACTTTTACTGACAGTTTTCTCTGAGTTGGAAAAGGAATCACTGAAATTGTTAGCCTTGATCACCTGATATTACATGAAACTTTTTCTTAACTTTGAAAACACTGGGCCTTAAGAAAAGAAGCCAAGAAGTTCACTGGCGTACATTGACTGGTATGATTTATAGACATCATTGACTTTACACCTGCACTGTTCATCACCTCGTGTAAATAACACAATAACGCTTTGCAAACCTTGAAAACAACTCAAACATGAAAGTATGAAGTGTATTTCAAATTTTATGCTTTTCTCCTTGGGTGTCAATAGTTTAGACAAGAGAAAGTATAGCATGTATCAAAATGCAATCTAATTTGAAGTTTTTAACCTTAGACTAATGAATGTAACTAGCAAGCTCATTCACTGAGGAAAAAAAAATTCATTTTCTTTCCAGTGAGGGAATACGTATTTTTATTAGAAAAGAGGGGTTTATGTGTCATGTTTCTGTATTACTAGGCACAAAGTACACTTAAGAACGGTGGGCCTGGCCTTTAGAGACATCAAAAAATACAAGTGGAGTCTGTATGTGCTTAAAATACACTCCAAATGCCTTCCTATTGGGCGTTCCAGGAAGGTTAAAATTGTTCTATATGAGGAGAGGAAGGGATGTTACTCTGTATCTGCTATGAGAAGCCTATTTGATAGACGAGTCATAACAGGCAGAAAAGTTCCTCTCTTGATGTATACAAGGGAAAAATCTCTAGGCTATGGGAAGGAAATGGGAATGAGGCAGAGTCCTATGGGTTCAACAATCATTCTCCAGGGGAGTGGATCAATGATGCAGGTAGCTCCAAGGACAGCAGCTTTTGAGGTGAAGAACATTAGGAAATTACAGATCTACACAGCAAGAAAAGGGACATCCCAGGGACTGTTCTGTGTACAGACTAGCTCTGTGTGAACTGGACACCTCCTCCCAGAATTCTTTCTAGGTCCTCAAAATAAGCACAAATAGTAATACCTGCAAGCAGTCGGGGAGAACCTAAGGAGTGTTTGGAGGTGATCCAAGAGAAAGTTGTTGCCAACCAGTCAAGAAAGTAACAGTAGAGCTATCTAACTTTAGGAGACATTACTATAATTTATTTCTTTATACTCTATTTGTGTATGCTTATTGAATCAAAAGTTATGTGCAATAAAGTACATATTTAAAGTGTACAAATGTATGAATTTTAACAGAATTTTGACTACCACAAAACCACCCCTACACTCAAGATTGCAAATACTTCTAGCATCTCCAAAAAGTATTGCTTAGGGGGGCACCTTGCCCCCTAAGCAATACTCCTCTCCCCCATTTCCTTCCCATTTGATCACTGGTATACTTTTATAAAAATATATGTAGATGGAATCATACCATATGGCTTATTTTGTACCTCACTGTTCTCAGGAAACAAAAAAATACTTGAGATTCATTCATGTTGTTTTATGGGTATTTATTTGTATTGCTGAGTAAATTCATTTTATGAATGTACTGCATTCTGATTATGTATCCGTTGGTAGATATTTTGGGTCATTTCACTTGTCGTTATTGAAAATAAAACTTCTATTTGTATGCATGTATATACAGGATAGATAACATGGTTGTTCTTCTATCTGCTGTTTCTATGCTGAAAGAAACTGTCAATGAGTCTTTGGTTGACCAGTATTGCATGTCTATGTCTGTTTTCATGAGAAGCCACTTTGAAGATATCAATATGTAATACAACCACCATTGTTAATTCCCTACCACTTTGTTTGTAACTCTGTATTGTCTGTACTGTGCTTGTGATATGTTGTAAAATGTTGTGTGTCTGTTAATGTTTCCCTCCTTTTATCTTTAAAATAAAAAAAAGAAAATAAAACTTCTATATATAAAATTTTGTGTAGAAATATGGTTCACATTGCCCTTTGACAGTTACCTTAATTTCTGAGTCGTTGCCTTAGTCTGTTCTAAAATGGCGGCATAGTTTTACATCCCATGAGCAGTGTATGAAAGTCACAGTTGCTTCACAGATTTGACAGTTTTCAATCTTTAATTGTGGCCATTTTAATGGGTGTGGAGAATACCATAATATAATGTTATGTGGCTGTGCTGTTAATTTTCATTTCCTTGATGACCAATGATATTCAGCATCTCCCCAACTCCTTACTGAGTTCTGTAGATGTTTTGTGAATTATCTGCCCAAATTTTGCACCTCTTCTTTACTGAGTAGTTTGTCTTTTTATTAGTGAGTTTTAAAAGTTATTTACATATTGTGGCCCAATTTATGTGTTGCAAATATTTTCTTCCTATTTATAATTCTTATTTATTTTCCTACTGTTGTTGAATAGCAAATATTTTTAGTTTTGATACAGTTCAATTTACCAACTTTTTCCTTTCATGCATTATGGTTTTTGTTTCCTATATGAAACAGTTTTGATAACTTCAAAGTGAAAAAGTTTTTTCCTATTCTTTTTTGGAAATGTTTTCATAATTTTTAATTTTACATTTAGGTGTATTACCCACTTAGAGCATTTTTGTCACATAAAATGTGAAAAATAATATTCATGTTTTCTTATAAGCTTGCAGTTACCTCTAAAGTGTGCTTCCAGATGATTTGTGGGAAAGTTGAGCAAACAGGAAAATACAAACATTTAAAATTTTTTAATATAAGATAATTTTGCGAGATAGATGCTTCCCAATTACTTTCTTCCAAGTTTTGACTTGCATTTAAATTTCCTTGGCTTTCAGTTTTTAATTTGATGGAGTTTATCATTTTATGTGCTTCTTTAAGAAGTTTTTGTGTAATCAAATGCCTTGAAGAATTTCTTCTAGAAATTTAATAGTTCTACCTCTTTTATTTACATGTATTGCATTTAAAATTGATGTTTGCATGTAGCATGAGGTCAGGGTTGACATTAACTTCTTCAGACATGTATATCCCATTGTCTCAGAAATCTGTCTTGAAAAGATTACCTTTTCCTATTTGTACTGTCTTGTCATTTTGTTGCCGTATTGCCAAGATGTCTCATTATGTATATTCAAATATTCTAAAATTTTAAAATCCAAAACACTTCTAGTCCCAAGTATTTGGATAAAAGATACTCAAACTATATTCACACTGTGTGTGTGTGTGTGTGTGTGTGTGTGTGTGTGTGTGTGTATGAGTGAGAGAGACAGACAGGAAGAGACAGAGAGACAGAATTTTGATATATTTTTAAGAGAAATTTATCCATTTCATATAGTTGTCAAATTTGTTACCATACATTTTGTTTTCTGATTTTTTAATGTCTGAAGTATCTGTAGTACTAACTAGTTTTTTATTCCCACTAGTGGCAATGTATGTATTCATTTTTTTCCCCTTCCATCTGTAGCTAAGTATTTTTACATTTTGTTGATTTTTTCAAAGAGCCACCTATTGTCTTTGTTAACTGAATATTTTTTTACTTTCTATATTGTTGATGTTTCCTCTTACTTTTAGTGTTCTATTCCTTATTTGTGTGTGGTCGGTAGAATTCTAAAATATCTACCAAAATTCTTGCTCTTGATGACTCATATTCTTAAATTATATTCTCTTGTTAAGTATAATCAAGACTTGTGATTATCACAAACTTCCAATCCTATGATTAAGTTACTAATTGTTTATCTGTGATTTAAAGAAAAAGGTTACCCTAGCAGTGATGCAGACTTTTTATAATGTTCAATGATAAAAAGAGCCTGTTATGATCCACATGCCATAGGTTCCCCACCAATGTGGCTGTCTAATCAGACAACCCCTCCAAATGAGATGAAGTACCAGGGGGATTTTCTTACTGGCCTGAAAGTAGAAAAACACTGCTATGGTGTGACGTATGTCAAGAGGCAGTTGCTAGGAGCTGAGAGTGGCTTCCAGTCAACAGCTAACAAAAAGAGGACCTCAGTCCCATACAACTGGAAGATGATGAAGTGAACTTAACCATGTCAAGACTGTATGAAAAAGTTGCTTTCTAACACCTGGATTTCAGCCTTGTTCAACTTTAAGCAAAGGACCCAGCTGAAGAGTTTCACACTCCAACCCATAGAAACAGTGAGATAATAAAAATATGCTGTTGTATGCTGCTAGACATGTGCTAATTTGTCATACAACA